TTTTTTTTTTTTTTTTTTTTTTTTTTTTTTTTTGCTATCACCAGTCGCTTTAGTGGAAGGAAAGTTTTGCTTGCGGCGCATAATGGTGCATTTAGTGTGAAGGTTCAAGTTTGGGGCTGCCTGGTTTTTGTCACATGTTAAAACGGCAAGGCCGTCTCCAAGTAATAAATGTTTCAAGTTATGGCGATAATTGACTACTATGATCTTAAACATTTTTGTAAATTAATTTTGTTGACGCTGTTTTTGATTTGATCGGCAAGTCTATGAAATCTTGTCTTTTAGGGGCTCTGCAACACTTTGTTTTACTTGCTTTCTGTTTGAAAGTGACATTAATTTTTCAGCTTTTTTCCAATTTCTGCGATCCTAAGCTAAGTCTGGTAAAATACACATATTTTTATATCATTGTGTAACACTGTGTTTTCCACTTTTTGTTGACGAGGTGCTTATGTGAAGTAAGGGTTCTGCATGCTGCAGGTGGAAGTCGTTGATGACGAAGAAGACCGGATTCCAGAAGGTGATGCGGAAACTAGCAGATCTCTTAAGCAGGTTAAAGTCCAGATTATTTCATTGTTTTGTACTCTAAAGTTTTGTATGACTTCGTTCATCAGAAGTCGTCTGAATACTTTTCCCTGCTTACTCGAAGTAGAAAGTTCCGTGATAGCAAACTTCTTATCCAATTTTAGGACGAAAAACCAGTCACATTTTATAAATTTGGACCAAAGAAAACGCAATCTATTGCAATTGATGTTTCTCTTAATAAAATTAACAAATGTATCAAGGTCGCATATAAGTAAGATTTTAAGTTTTCACGGCGTTGAGGTTTTCTTTTTTTGACATTTTATCTTAGTCAAAAAATTTTGATAGGATTGTACGTTTGTAAATCTGTGTATTTCTGTTTTGCCAAACCATTCGTGTGTTCCTCATTACTTTCCAGTTTTTTTAGTAAGATGACGACTCCTAAATGGAAAGACTTTAAAGGCCTACGTTTGCACTGGAAGCAGCGTATCCGTTTAAATAATGTTATTTGGAGAGCATATTATATGGAGTGTAAGTTTGAAATGTTGTTCTACTTTTTCTTCCTCAAAGTTTTGAAGCAAGTTTTGCTATATTTTTTGGTGTACAGAGATTGCCTCACTTCTAAATCTTTTTTGGTTAAGTTGGCCCTTATGTTTTTTGGAAACGACATTCAGAGGCTTTTGCAGGAACTCATTTTGCTGGTTAATTTAAAAATATTATTTGGGTTTTTAGTTAGGCGTCCAACTAAGAATAAGTCTAAGAAAACTCCATATTGCTACTTTGCTGTTCCAGACGATGACACGACTCATGTTCACGTTTCGGTGATTGTTCTTACTTTTTAGGAAATTTGGGCACTTAAAAATTCACAAATTTTATTTGCTTGAACTAAACACTCTTCTCTTCAAAATTTCATTTTCAATTTTTTGCTTCTATATCTTCCTTTTTTTCGCTGTTAGTGAAACTTTTTGGACAAATTTTTCTTTTTGTTTTCCGTTTTACATTATTTATAGAATATTGATTTTAGGGAACTGTGATGGAGGGCATGTACTGGAAGCGGAGAATGGAAGCTGTATGTGCACAGTATAAGAGGTGGCGACATTTTTCTAAAAGCCGTTGTAAAAGAGGGCGAAAAAGAGTAAGTCTTTGTGTCTTCGATTCTTTTTAATTATTAACTAACATCAGAATTATTTTTAAAGCAGCTTATAACTGTACGTTTATAACTTCATTCTGTGTGAGGAAGACGTTTGTAGTGTTTTCGGCCATAAAATTTCTTAATAAAATGTTTAGCCTGTCATCCTCCTGATTACAAAAATTCATTTACCTCTTTATTTTTTTTTTTTGTCTTAGGGCAATAGTGCTTGTTGCGATGGAGTGATGTTTAAAAAGATGCCTCCAAAAAGCCAAACTCCAAAGAACACTTCAAGCGATAGCTTTGGGCCGGAGGACTTAAATGATGAATTTAAAGACGCCTTATTTGAAAGCCTTCTGCAGCCATATATGTTTCCTAACCCGAAAGAAATGAGTAATAAAAATTGTCACTTTTTTTATTTCTTTGTTTTTTTGTAGCTCTTTTCAAAGGATTGAAGCTTCGTTTTTTATAAATAGGTGTTCTGCTGTGAAAGAGAAGCCGAAATTCTAATTATTTATTTTGTAGTAAAATTTTGTTTATAGCAGGTTGTAATGCTGATGTTATGCAACCGGGTCTTTTATCGCTGCAACCAAGTATAGAAGAAATCATGTCATCTCTTAACGGTAAGTCTTTTAGGAAATCCTATATTTATTTCCAGTACCAAACATTTTTTAGAAAGCTTCAGATTTCCCCTCACTGCTGCTAGTTAGAAACGAGATTGAACTTAGTAAGTATTTTCATACTAGACACTTCTGATCCACCAAGGAGTGATTCTGAGCAAGTAGCTCCGGCGTCAGTATCTTCTTCTTATTCCTCGAAGGAGTACGACACCGCCCACATGCTAGTCGATTATGGAAATCAGACTCAGCCGACAAGGCAACCCTCGTCTATTTCTTCCCAGATGTTAATGGCAAATTCCTTCACTCCTACATACTCTCAGGTTACACTTAATAAATTTTTATTAGTTTTCAAATGTTCCCAGCTAAATGTGGGTAGCTTGCGTTCAGTTTACGTAGTAGCATTTGTGAAAATGGGGGCACTTTCAGGCCGCTTGTGAGGGGATCCCATCAATGCCACCATACGCTGATAATTCGAATTTGGATTATGTGCCACAATTCCTTGCATCTTCTGGGTTGCAATCAACGTCTTCGACTGTGTTGCCTAATAGGCCCTGGTTAATGTTAGCACAGTCCCATCCGTTTTTAGGAAGCCCATCTACTCCATCTCCGTTGATGCAAAGTCCCTCTGGATTATCTCCGTTGTCTGTAAATTGTCATACTTCTGTTTCTCCGTTAATCATTAATCCTCCTTCGAACGAAGCTGTGTTGTCTAATACACCTTCTAAGGGTGCGCTTAAAGCTTATCCTAGTCCTAATCCGCAACAGAAAAACAGTAGTAGGTGGATGTTATCTTCGCCTATCACACCAAGCAGTATGTTGCAAAACAACTCTGTAAATGTAAATAACATTATGCCTGGTTCCTCAGTAAACATGGAGTCTGGAGTCCCTTTACCTGACACAAAACCATGGAAGGTTATCATTACATCGTTAGATGCCAAGAATGCTTCTTCCTAATTTTCTTTTTCATGCCGCTAGTAGCAGCTTACATTTAGGTATGGCCTTCAGCAACATCCACTTTTCAGGTTCGCTCACCAGCGTCTCCGAACGTCGCTGCGTCATTGCCAATTCCTCAACCTGTGTATCCACTACTTACCGGTTCGTTGGCAAGTACATCTCGATCATTAGAGTCTCCACCAACAGTCCCGTCTGCTGCTCCTGTGCAGTCAGCTTTGCCGCCGCTTACACCAGTTCCTTCACATACTTCGTTGGTTCCTCCTCACCCATCTTCAGTTCTAATAAAAGAGGAGGAAGAGGAAAAAGAACGTTCACAGCGGGTTTTATTAAAGTAAGCTTTTGTGCGATATTGTAAAGAGGGCTTTACAGTAGTTACATGCCTTTTATTTAGGCGGTTCAGGTCTGTCGCTCCAGATAGTACTATCGAACCCGTAGAAAGGAAGAGGATTTTGCACTTGAATGCTGAACAAAACAGGTACTTTTTTGAGGGGTTTGTTTTTTATGTAACGGTGAAATAGCAATAACTGCCTTCTTATGAGCACCGTTCTACATGCGGGTATAATCTGCAACTGAGTGAAATTGTGAGTTTTTGTTTTTTTATTTGGTTTCCTAATATTTATTAGAAAATTTTATTTTCAAGGCGGTCTGCTTTAAAAGATGGCTTTGAACAATTACTGAACCTTTTACCGAACGTTTATGCTGGTGGGACTAAGCCGACGAACGCTGTTGTACTTGCTCGGGCGGCAGAAAGAATACGAGAGCTGAACAATACTTTATCAGAAAACAATAAAAAAGCTGAGGAGTATAAACAATACATGCAGCGATTGAAAGATAAAATTGCGTTAGTCTTCATTTGTAGAAATCAGCGAGTGGGGATTAAGTATTCAGGGATTAGGGGCTTCAACTTTTGAATGCTGAGTCAGCGAATTGGTTCATATTTCTTATAGCGGTACATAATGCTGTCTACCATGAGATTTATTATATCAGGTCTCTTCAAGCTTCGCTACCATCATCTTCACGCTCTGCAGCAACTATGATTAGCCAGAAGGCTCTGGTTGAGCAGTTCGTTGAACGATATATAAAAGAACGCTCGCGTCAGGATTACCGTTTTTGGCTGGTATGTGATTGTTTTTTGAAATAGATCGTACCGTAGGAAGCAGTTCGAACAATTATTTTTGGAAAAATTATTTTTCCTTTCTTACGATTCAAAATTCTTTTTGAGATGGCAAAAATGATGCGCCCTTTGATTGATTCGTTTTGTGGCCAAATATGCGAGGAAGTTCAAAGTCGTGATACAGTTATCAGATTAGCCAGTGACTGGTTGCATACTCACTTCCAGCCAACTGCTGTGAGACCGTTGGCACCATCTGTGCTTATATACCTCGCTTCGAGTACTTCGTTCATTCATGAACCTTCTAGTTTACAAAAGCATGTACAGGAGGAAATTAGCAAACAGTAGCTGGAAGTGCAAATATTATAACATAGGAAAGAATTCGAATTAGTACCTTTTGATGTTTTAGATAATGCTGTCGCATATAAAGTTTTAGAAATCGTTTGTGAATTCCCCATTTTCCTCTAAATTGTCTTTGATGTATAATATTATTTGACCACTCATCCTGAAACCGCTCAGTATTGTTGTTTTAATTGTGCCATACTTTTACTTTCTTGTTCGTAGGTAAGACTTCAGTTCTTTAATGTGTACTTATTTTATTCACTTTTCCTTAAGTGTTTTATAGTAATGTTGTTCCTTTTTTTGGTGGAACATCTTCACTACCAAAATTTTCCTTGGCTTGGCGCTACTCCGTCTCCGTTCACAGTGACTTACTGCTGGGGAGTTCCGCCGCCTTCTTTCATTATCAGCGCATTAGTCTTTGATTTTTTCTCTCTAGATTTGTCTCACGCAGTTTCTTAAATCCTGAGGCGCTTAATTGTAGATTATCATTTTCTTTCTATTTTGCTACTTTTCTCTTGTTGTTTTTGTTTTTGTTGTTGTTGTTGTTGTGTGCCTGCCTTTAGTGTTGAGATCTGAAGATGTTCGTTTTGATGTTTTATCTAGCGCTTCGGTTTTGGGGTCCTTAACTTTTTGGAAGGCTGGGTGAGTTCGGGGTCACAAAGAGCGACTTATCAGTTCCAAAGAAAGCCGCAAGCGCACAAGACGTCAGGTTTGTAGGGGTTGTCCGGTTTTCGTACACAGTTTCCTAATGCCTTTTAAACGGGTTCTACTTGGCGTACTTTTTAATCTTTCACAGCTTTTAGGTGTTAAGCTTGCAGTCCAGCTCGTTCTTCCGGGTATTTGTTCTTTTTTTTTCTGCCAATTGTTGTCTAAACTATTTTCCAGTTTGTTTAAGCAGATTGAAGTACCTCAGATTTACAATTATTTTGTTACAAATTTTTATATATGGATATTGAACGTTCAGTAAAATTCTCCTCTTCTGTTAGGTAACTTTCCCAGTTCCTTGTAATTAATGAGGACACTTCGCATGTATCTACAACCAGTATAATACAAGCAACAAAGAAAGCCGGCAGAGCGCCGGAAGGAAATGCAGTACAAATCTTGCGGTAAAAGACGTTATCTTCAGTGCATAAGACAAATGAAAGGTGTTCTGCGCGTGATTATAACAAGGTTGATTTACTATTTCCCTAAACTACTTCCCACCATAGACACGAAAAGGTAACGAAGTAGGGACCCCCAAAAAACAACAGTCACCTTTCTAAAATCATTATAAGCGCCATCAGATAAAACTTCAGATTTAGCTTAAGATATAATTAGAAGAATGAAGATGAGATTCTCTTCAAGGATCGAACAACCACTTCTAATAGTTTTAGCAAACTCAGCAGTTGTTACGCTAAGCAGCTTCAACACTAGGCCAACCAAAAACGAATAGGAGACCTATAGGGTCTCCAAGTACCACTCAGGGTATCACGTCAAGCGTAAAAGCCGGTCTACCAACAAAAAAACATTGACCGTCTTATCATTTCACTAAGTTTATTTATCGTACTTGCTTCTAGAATTCCTGCTTTTATCTTCAAGAAGTAACCAAAATTAGGTCATACATCCTAGTAAAAACCGAAGATCAAAGAGCTTTGAAACTAAATCTTCGGGCCGTTCCAATTTTGTTGCTTCAATACCCTCTACGACTCAAAATCCAATCTCTCGTGAAGTACCAAAGTGCATATAACACAAAGAAGATGGCAAATAACAAAGAAGAAGCTGATTTCTTATAATGAACAGCATGAAACTGAACTGACTGATCTGCGCTTAAGGACAAAATAGCAACCTTATATCCTGCAGCAATACCTGGTAAACAGCATCTCCTTCCATCCTTTTCCCCAGTACGTATATCAGCCACTTTTTTAGGCAAAAACTCAAGGCCTAAAAAACGAAATTACAAAAGTCTCAATCAACAAATTAAACAACTTACCAGTTACAAATATCCCATGAGTTTCGCGTGCAAAATACAATGCCTTCATTTCGTGTGTGTCATATATCCCAACACTTCCGCTTAGAGTTCCAATAGCAGTAAAACCTCCACACTCACTAATTGCCATAGTAGATATAGACTGCAGAGGAAAATTTACTAGATCCAAAAAATGCACAAATATTCCGAACAGTTCCGTTTACCATCAATTCCACTAAACTATTTAAACCAAGTTAAGGGAAAAATTATCTTACTTCTGTGCAGGCTTTTCTCACTAATATTGGATTGCAAGTTTGTTTTTCCCGATTGAACGCCCACAAACTGAGGTAGCTCTTAGAGCGTGAGGTACGTCGCACTTGATTGTAAGCAGCAACAAATATTATATTTATAGAACCAAGTTTCGTGAACTGGATAGTCCTGACCTGAAAATAAGTGTATTTTTAAATATACGGTAATACTGCACTCTGTTAGAAATTTGGTTCAAATAAAAAAGTTAAAATTGAAAGCGATTTCTAAACCTCTCCTTAAACGGTCAAATGAAATCTAACATACTCTGTACTCTTTACCCAATTCCGATAAGGTCGGTAACTCCGCAAGTCTCTTACCACTTGAAATATCCCAAAAGTATACTTTGGTGTCCGTACCTAATGATACAAATATACGGCCATCCGGGGCTATATCCACTTCATCAATAACACCCTTATGTGCAGGAATTTCCAAAAAAGCGCTTGGCTTCATTTCCTATAAACTGAATTTAGTGGATGTCGACAAAGAGTTTACCAAGCCATAATTTCAAAATTTCCTTGAAACCTTATTTAAAGAGGTATCAAGCTTCCAAACACGAAGTGTTCCCTCCGAGCCTCCTGTTATAACGTATCTTGGCTTGCCCATTATAGTTCTGTCGAATCGCACAGTTTTCTAAGATGTTCCGCAACAATACATCCTTCTTTTGATTATTTTTGTAGTAAAAATTGTTTTCTTTAAACCAAAAAGAGTCATCTAAAAAGTATTCAAAACGTACTTGATAAGAACCGCCTTCATTTTGATTGCTAACAACCGTATAAATCTCGTCAAACTTTAAAGTCACCAAGTCTTTCCCATCTTCTACATTGGACAGAGAAAACCCGTTAGACAAATAAAATGTGCAATACTGCAAAAAACGACTATTACTGATGCAACATTACTTTTGCTCAAAAAAAAAAAAACACTACAAAACTAACCTCATCGTGCCCAGCAGCGATTAAGTATTCCCCTAGTTCAGGATCTCCAATGTTCACAATATCCATATTCATAGTTGCGTGTGAACCGGTTGTAAGTGCATTAGTTAATGTTGCTTTTAAAGGTAGAGGTAACGTTCTTGGGCAGGAATCAATACCAACGTGGTCAAATGATAGCAAAAACGTCTTTAAAAACCAAATTCTTTTTATTGTCAATAACTTGCTTAAGAAAGCGAAAGTGAGTTTCTAACAGAATTTTTTGAGTAATTGGAAGAAGAAAAAACTGTACTTGAATTTCGTTTTTAACACCAGTTCTTGACGCTCCACCGCCACCTCCAATTATAAGATGCCTGGTCCCTGCCATCTTAAGACAGTACGGTGGAACCGAACATCGTGTGACAATCAATGGGTGTCTCTTTGAGGATGATGAACCCATCCTGCAAAAAAATGCAGCAATTAGTTTTTTAAACACCGAATAAACTCAAAAAGCAACGAGGAAAACGTTTAGAACAAAAACCACGTGGAACTCAGAATCACCACATAAACCACCCAGACTCGTCATTCTTTTCGAACAGCTAATGAATGTATAACCAATCTTTTGAGCTGATTTGGACATTTGGCAACTGCACAGAATTTTGCACACTTTCCCTCCAAACACGTGAATTCTGTTGCAGCTCGATATTTAAACTCCAACAGCTTACTCAACAAACTCCTTCCGTCCTAATGATCACTGTATGATACGAAGCATCTTTGCGTGGTACAAAGCAATGATCAATAGGAAGGTCAGTAACCTTCTGGAGAATCACTTTTTGACACTGTTACGGTTTAAGCGTAATTTTCTGCCGAAAAGCCGCTGTTATAAGAAGCCATATGAATTGAAGAGAAACCTTAGCACTAGGCCGTTACAAATGTGGCGGAAAGTAGATATACAAACTCAGAATCATCGCAGACAAATCAGACGAAGCCAGGGGACCAAGTACAAAAAATAAAAGTCGATCGCAAAAAATGCGTATTTGGCGCCGCTGTTTTCCTCACAAACCCTCAAATCCCCACAATCTTAGCAGAGACTTATCGCTTCACCCCTGTAAACGTCGCCTTTCTGATTCAACTTCGTACATCTGGTTCCTTCAGTACTGTCAAGCCAAACTTGCATGCTACAGTAGAACACAACTATATATTTGATCGGGTTATCACTGAGACCGCCCATTATTTTCCACCGACTATCTTGTCTCCCTTCGAATAATGAGGTGAGGAACGAAGATTTGGAAGACAACGGTAGAAAACAACAGAAAAAGGATTTAGAAGCGACCAGAAAATACTTCTTGAGTAGTAGCAGCGGCTCCCCTTCCCATACACCAAACACGCTCACATGCTCGGCAACCCAAGTTGTTTAACACCCAGCAGCCAGAAATAAACGATTGATTTCTTCAAACGTTGGTAACGCTAACATCTTTCTTACTTCGTTCAAACCCTATACAGTTCTATTCCGCCTTGTATGCATCAAAAATGCCATACAAAGCCCAAAATCATAGTTAGCAACTCCAGACTACTTATGAGCTCAATTATTGCACATTACTATCTAGATTATTTCACTACGCGTGCACTTAGCGACTGATCACTGAATGCCAATAACTTTTACACTGTACTTCACAGAGTGACAGTACAACAAAAAACTTGTTTTATTGAAAATTCGAGGTTCTCAGTCACTGGCGGTTTTAGCGTTTTATTTGAAAGTTTCATTTGAGACCTATTAAAACTCCTCCAATTATATACCTTATCATACGGCTAAGAAAACATTTAGCGCACGAAGGGACGCAATTAAATGCAGACAGATTTTAGCCTCCAAAAACAATTCTGTTCCCTACTTAAAAAAGCGTAATTCGTGATAAACTATTTTTTATTTCAGAAATCATGTACATTTGAATCAGACCTCTAGCAGTCTTTGAGATTAATTAAGGAGCAAACAAAAATAAACAGCCAATTTCAGCATTAGAATATGTGGAAATTAAAGAGGTAGACGGCAGCGAAACAATCAATGTTGTTTTAAAATAAGAAACTCTCTCGGATATGGACATGTAAAAAAGTGCAGTAATCTTTAAAACTCAAAGGAGCTGTCATATTATCTGCAGGAGAGACTAAAAACCTTCAGTACTTTCCTTAAGCTGCTGGAAATAGATAGCCATGAAAGTTGCTATAAAAGCCTCAATATGAAAAATCGTCTTGTTCCCGAGGCCCAGTCGGTGTTCATACTTTGCAGCTGCAGCAACTACTTTGGCCTTTATCTGTCCATCGCAATAAGGAAGAAGCTCTCTCACCAATTTCTTAAAAAAGCTGTTGTTATTTTATAATGTTACAAAATAAAGCAAATAATATTCAACCTTTTACCACAAATATGACGTCAGCAGGTATGCAATGTATTAGACACTCATAAATCCGCTCTCGAACCTTCAGAAGACTAAACAAGCAGCCGTTAAGAACGTGGAGAACCCATGAAGAATAAATCTATAGACATTAATAGAGCCTCTCTTCTCCAAAAAAAAAAAAAAAAAAAAAAAAAAAAAAAAA